TCTCTCTCTCTCTCTCTCTCTCTCTCTCTCTCTCTCTCTCTCTCTCTCTCTCTCTCTCTCTCTCTCTCCCTCTCTCTCTCTCTCTCTCTCTCAATGTTGGCAAGCGTAAAAGAAGTTATCGCTCGCTCGCTGCGCAACAATCTCCTTCACCGGCAGTGGCACTTCGTATCCTCACTGCTCTGGCTCCGCTGCGCGACGATCTCCCTCACCAACCATCCGTCACCATACCCCACCTCTCCCTACGTGCAGACGGGACACGAGCGTTGCATGGCCGATTCACTTTTGCATGCACACGCGCTCGGTTGCGACAATCAGGTTGCACACGCGCCCTGACCACGCTTCCACAGGCTCTGTGCCATTTCACGTTGGCGCATCCGACGACTGGCCCCGACCACACTATTTTCCCTCATCCCCTGCGCCGCACACGACGACTGGCCCCGTCCACGACTTCTCCATCTAGCACGCGACCTCCCTGCTCCGGTTCCGCCCGTCCTGTGGTTTTCCGTGGGCCCACAGCTGCGTGTGCAACCTGATCTTCGCCTCAAAACGTGTGGGCCTGGGCCGCACATGGTTTTTTCTTCAAGCGTGGTGAGACGTGCTTTGAACATGCTTCCACACGCGCCCTGACCACGCTTTCACGCGCTCTGCCTCAAAACGTGTGGGCCTGGGCCAAAACGTGTGACGTAGAGAAGCTTCCAAACGTTTGGCCTTCTGGCCAAAACGTGTGGAACCCACTGCGTGGTCCAGAACCTTCCCCACGTGCAGCCCCTACCCCTGTTACTTGCTGATAGGACTGGCCTACAGGGACCTACGACCTTCTAGAGCCTACAGACTTACAAACAGACTCTAGGCCTCAGTAGACTCAGATAGAGACTTCTAGAACAGACCTTCCTAAGCCTAACGGTAATAGACCTAACTCCTAATCTACAGACCTAGGGATCAAGCCTTACACAGATCGTTGGGCCTATGTACACGGTAAAAGGTAGGTCTAGGGATCGAATCTCACTCAGCACACAAGGTCAATGTACAGGGTATGGGCACAGGTCTAAGGATCGAATCTCTGTGTCTGCAAATGTCGGGTCTGCCGGGTGAAACCATTTCACTCCCGCCGTCCTAAATTCGAGGTCCTCCGAGAACACTCTAACTCAAGGTAGGACCTTTGCCCTTTCTTTCCCTCTCGTAGGCGTGTACTATGTCGGGAGCGGTTTCTAAGAGCTCTGTTCTTGTAAACCATCAGTCGTCCTCTGGCTCCTGGTATGCGAACCCAACCTTATACAGTCTCTGGGACGACCTCGACCTCCTGTCCTGAACACGTCCTCTTCCACGATGTGATCTATATCATATGCACCATCCATGTCTGGCGGAATCATCGATCTCCTGGAAGGGAATCTGTCGGACGTGGTGCAAGGCAATAACTTGGACGCATGGAAGACTGGGTATGTGTGGAGGTGTGTCGGGATCTCTATTGTGTATGACGGGCCGTCCTCTCCTCCCATGACTTCTAGGACAGGCCATGGTCCTCTATACGCAGGTAGGAGCTGCTATGAGATGTTTTCCTTTGGTGCAAACTCCTTTGACTTGACCCAGACCAGATTGCCTACCTGGAACTGTGAAGGTCGACGATACTTGTTAGCTTGTTCTATCATCCTATGCTGGGCCTTTCTCAGATTGTCTATGACCTTAGCGACTTCTTGCTCGTGCTGCAGGGCAAACTCTTGTGTGTGGGTGGTAATCTCTGTATCTGGTCCTGGTTTAGTCCCTCAAATGGTCGTCGTGGTCTAAAGGGCTTATGTAGTTCGTTAGGAGTCCTGCAAGTAGCTAGGTGGACACTATTGTTGTAGGCGCTTGCTACCTTGGGAAGCATCTCATCCCAGTTTACCTCATCCAGTCTAATGTACATTTTGAGTAGCTGCTCTTATTCATCTGCTTTGTCTGGCCATTAGTCTCTGGGTGTCGTCCTGACGACATCAACAGCTTAGACACATAGACTTTCATAAGATCCTGCCAATTTTGACTAGTAAACCGTGTGTCCCTATCACTAAATACGGACAGCGGCATACCATCCTCGCTTACCCAAAAGTCAAGCGTGCCTCTGAAGGCAGGGGAACAAACGCTGCATACTTACTAAATCTATCTACTATGACCATGACTTGAGTTTTGTCATGCCTACTTTTGACCCCAGTATCCATAAAGTCGATGGACAATGAATCTTCGGGTCCTAATGGAATAGGCAAGGGTCTAAGAAGACCTAGCGAGGCTCTGGTTGTAGTTTTATTCTGCTGACATACCTTGCAGCTGCGCACATACTCTATGCAATCTGCTTTCATGCTTGGCCACGTATATGACGTCATCAGGTTAGCTAGAGTCTTTTGCCATCCGAAGTGCCCTTCTGTATCGTGGCACTCCCCTAAGATCAGGCTAGCCTGATCTCTTCGCTATTGGGGACGCATAGTCTGTCAGCGACATTGGTATTCTCAAACAGTAGCCCATTCGTGGTTCGGTAGTGCAACTCGCTATCTGGGGCCTCCCTTAATCTCTTCATCAATTCATTGTAGATCAGGTCCTGAGCATTTGCATCCCTGATCTTTTGCTGCAGGTCGGCCCCTATGTCTAGATAGTGCACTATCGCGCCGAAGTAATCAGCTCTCCTACTCAGAGCATCGGCTACCACGTTGTACTTTCCTTTTACAAGCTTTAACTCAAAGTCAAACTGATCTATCTCAGCAACCCATCTAGACTTGGGCGTCATCTTGGCCTGTGTCTTTAGCCATCTAAGAGTCTCCTGGTCTGAGTAAACCTTGAAGTGCCTCCCAAGCAGGTAGTGCCTCCAGTGGTCTAAAACCTGCCTGAGAGCGTAGAGTTCCCTCTCATATGTCAATGCTGCAACTTTCTCTGAGGGCAGCCTAGCTGACATGAACTCTACGGGCCTATAACCGTTGCCGTCATCTTGCTGTAGGACGACACCTATGCCATACTGACTAGCGTCTGTAGTGACAACAAATGGTAATGACGGGTCAGCAACTTTGAGGATAGGGTACTCTATTAAGGCCTTCTTCAATTTCTTGAAAGCTGACGTACAATCCTGGTCCCACTTCCAGATAGTCTCTTTCTTCAGCAACCTACAAAAGGGAGCAGCGAGCATGGAGAAGTTCCTTACGAACTTCCTGTAGTAATTAGTCAGTCCTAAGAACGAACGTAACTCTGTCAGTGTCTTAGGAGTCGGCCAATCTCTAATTGATGCAACCTTGCTGTCCTCGGGCCGAATACCGTCTCCGTCTAGTGCATGGCCTAGGTAAAGGACCTCTGTCTTGACCCATTCGCACTTCTTCGGGTTAATCTTAAGGTTAGACTCTTTCAGCTTGCTTAGAATCTGTCGTAGATGGCCCTCATGCTCCTCGAGGGTCTTGCTGAATACTAGGATATCATCTAGATAAACTACGACGAACCTATCTAACCACGACCTAAATCAGTCGTTCATACAAAACTGAAATGTGGCTGGTGCATTAGTAAGTCCAAACGGCATCACTATGAACTCGTAATGCCCATACCTCGTCCTGAACGCCGTCTTATACTGATCGTCAGGGTGCACTTCTATCTGATGATATCCTGATTTCAGATCTATCTTTGAGAAATACTTGCATCCCTGCACACGATCCAGCAAGTCGTCTATAAGTGGCAATGGCTCTGCATTCTTAATTGTGATGGCGTTCGGTCCCCTGTAGTCTATGCACATACGTAGTTCCCCCTCTTTCTTTGGGACGAATAGAACAGGTGCGCCAAACGGTGACGAGCTAGGCCTGACCCATCCTTTCTCTAGGAGCTCATCTAACTGTCTGCGAAGCTTCTCTAACTCCTTAGCAGACATCCTATAGACTGCCCCCTTGGGTGTTCTAGCGCCAAGTTCTATCTCTATATGATGCTAGATTGGTCTAGGCACTACTCCTGAAGGTGCTTCAAATAAGTCCTTGTATTCTTCCAGCAGACTGGCGATAGTAGGATGGATCTTCTCCTCTTCCTTGGGCTGGTCAGAAACCGGCCTAACGTAGGCTACGAACACTTGCTCTTCGAGCTGCTCCTTTCGCACGAGTCTGGCGAACGCAGGAGCGTTGAGGCAGCAATGGGCAAGGGGATTATCTACCCCGGACTCATGGAACAGGAGGACTTGCTTGACTTCGCCTGACGCACTAGGGAGCCTACACTTGTGCTCTCTAAGGTGCATTGTGGCTCCTGCTGCCTCTCCCCAATCCATACCTAGAACAATGTCAAACGGGAGACTCTCTTCTACGAGGAGGGTCAAGGAGTGCAGTACCTTCTTTACCTTCCCATCTTTCTCTAGGCGAAAGTAGGCGTGGGCCCCCTCAACATACTCTTCAACGCGCATCCTGCTATTGTCTGCAAGACTGCTGACTACAGGTTCTTTTAAGCGTTGGACTTTCAAATTAAGCTTCAACTTTTTCAGCGCTTCACGACTGATATAGTTCCTAGTCGCCCCACTGTCTATCAGGGCACCTACTCTAGCTCTAAAAATTTCTACGTCTGTGAGGATAAGTTGTCCTTTACTATCCTGCTTCATCTTGGCCCAAACTTGCCTCCTCTCTCTTAACTCTTCGGCTAAGCCTGTGAGGGAAGCGTCTAGAGAGACCCTAACACAAGCAGTCTCTGGACAACTTACTAGACGTTGGCCTGCAACCTCTGCCATGGAGATATACGGTGTGGGAGACTCTACTTCGCGCACACGCTCAAACCCACATACTCCTGGGGTAGGGGCAGTTGCGACCCCTACCGGCGGTTGTCTTTTGTTGCCCCAGACGCAGCACGGTCCCTATACTTAGGACAAAATTTGATAATGAGGCCTGGGTCCCCGCAGAATACGCATTGAGAACTGTTAATGCGTTTTTGCCATACTCTTTGATCTATACCCAGATCTAACCAAGGTCAGCCTTTGGGCCGGCCTGGATGCCACCTTCCCTGTTTGGGGGGTGACTGACTAAGACGCAAACGGTTAGACAGGGGTCCTCCCCTTCCTCCCTCTTGGCGGTTGCCGTTGCCGCCAACCCCCTGGCCGCCCTGTCCTCGGCCACCTGGGGCCCAACCATTCTGGCCGGATCGTTGTCCTCCTCCCTTGGCCTCCCTCCGGTCGCGACAACAGCGTAGGTTCTCCCCTGGCCTGTGCCGCTGTTCTCCTCCTCCTCTAGTCCCCACTTGATGTTAGGGTAGGGAACCTCGTCGGCACCACCTTCCTCCATTGTTAGTATCAAACTATCTTTGGCCTTAATTTGGTCTGAGATGGTGCGTCCCTTCCACGTTTTTCCCTTTGACAGATCTTTGTGCCAAAACGTGGTAACTAGCGATGCTTGGGCGGCAAAAGCAACTGCCTCCCGACGAAGAGTATCATAATGCATGCCCTGCTGGTTCTTCTTCTCGAAGAAATGTCCCTGAATGTTGTCAGGGAGGGCACGATAGAAGAGGTTAAGAAGCTGGGCAGCGGTTACTCCATGCCCAAGGACCGCAATCAGTTCGTCCATGGCGGACTTGAGGGCGTGTACACTCTTCCATGGGCGAGTGTGTATCATTTGGAGTTTGTCGGAGGCTTTGAGCCCCAGCGTCACATCTGAGAATCGCTCCTTGAGCGATTTTAGGAACTCAGAGAGAGGTGTCAGTCTCAAATACGTAATCATATCGTTATCACAATTTGCAGCATGGGCGAGCGACCTAGCAAAGTTGGTCGCCTCATCTCGAAGGGCCTCGAAGGCCACCAAAATGTGGCCCTCAGGCATGACTCCCTGTAAGTACAAGTAGGAGTGCACGTTGGCCTCCCAGTTATCGAAATCCTCACCCTTCTCAGGAGTGGTGGGGTCGACTCCTCTTCCTTAGGAGTCGCCAACTTGGCGCCTTCAATGGCGCCAGTGCAGAACTCTCGGGTCTTACCAATTGCATTATGGACTTCGGCCAATAAGTATTTCATCATGTCACTCGCAAAATCTTTGAACCCGATGCGCATTGCATCTATCTTTACTTCTAGGTTGCGGATATATTGCGCTTGTTCGTGGTTTGCGGATATATTGCGCTTGTTCGTGGTTTGCGGATATATTGCGCTTGTTCGTGGTGTGCAATTATTAAAGATTCTTTACTTTGAGTCAGGGTATTGAGCTTAGTGGCTACCTCTGTCTCTTCCCTGATTTTCCCCATCCTGGTCTCCGCCTCTTTCAGATCCTTCTCTGCCCTTTCCGCCGCTTCCAATCGTCTTACCCTCTCTTGGGAGAGCCGGTCTCTCCATGCCATTTGCTGTTCTTCCTCCTTTGCCTTTCTCTTCACCGGGTCCCTTTCTGTCTCAATTTGCCTCCTTGTTGCTTCTCTCTCTTCCTGGGGTATGGCCATCTCGGCCTCCCTGTCTTCCCCCAACTCCAAATGTGCGGCCCACTCCTATGCAATGTTTGCAATCTAGATTTCTTTGCTTGTGCTGGCTTCCCCTCTCGTTCTCTCCAATGGCTCTTCTTCCTCTACTTCTTCTTTCTTCTTCTTCTTCTTTCTCCACCTCCTCTTGTATAGTCGTCATCTTCTCCTCCTGCTCCTTCTTCAGCTCCTCCTCCATCTGCTTCTTCTTTGCTTCTTGCTTCTCCGGCAGTGCCAACATCTTGGCCTGCTTGATTAACTCCCTCTTCTCCATTCTCTCCTTCCTTTCTCGCAAAACGGCGGCAGCTCTCTCCTCTTGTTCCTTACTATAGGGGGTGGTACTAAACCAAGTCTTGGTGGTCACCATGGTGAAAGTGCACAATCAACAACGATTCCACGCCTCAACACATACACCGAACAGGTTAACTTCTATCGAGGGGTCTTGACTCACTACTCGGGCTAGACCTACGGTTCTATGAGCGCATACACAGAATCCTACCGACCTGGATAGAAGTGACAGGGAGATAGGACTGACTGACTTTGACAGACTTAACGTCAGCAGGTACCAAGGTGAAGGTGCACATCCACGGGGTAAGGGGATAGGCCAAGGCTTGAAAGGGTGGTATCAGTAGTTTTCTCGCTCCAGCTGGGTCGACGCTCCGGTCAACGGTCTTGGTCAACTCGCCGGTCAACACTCCTAGTCAACACTCCGGTAAACTCTGGTCAATGCCTGGTCAACGCCTTTGGTCAACTCTTGATCAACGTTGGTCAACTCCCGGTCAACGTTGGTCAACTCCCCTGGTCAACCTTTCAACCTTTCGGCTATGGTGGATCTTTTTCTTCGTCAAAACCTTCGTCTTCTTCACCTCGGCTATGGCTGACTTTGTCTCCCTCTTCGTCACTTTCTTCTTCCTTTTCTCTGCGTCTTCCTCTTCTTCTTGCTGATCGTCCCCTTTCCTGAGCTTGGCAGCTATGGCTGTCGTCCCCCCTGCTCTCTCTCTCTCTCTCTCTCTCTCTCTCTCTCTCTCTCTCTCTCTCTCTCTCTCTCTCTCTCTCTCTCTCTCTGCCGAGCTCCGGCTATGGCGGCTTCTTCCTTCGTCGTCGCTTGCTGCAGCTCCAGCGGCGTGGACAACGGGTACCAGCTCCGATACCAATGCAATCAGACTCGACTCTGGACTTGCTCACAGCATGCACACTTGAGAACCGATGGCAAAAGTGAACTCTTCCAACTCAGAAACAACAATAAACTTGTATTAAACTCAGTCTGAATCAACTGTACAACTTGCGGCTATGGCCGCCAAACACTGTCTCTACCACCAGCCTCACTCTCCCACACTCTCCCATGAACGCACGTACGAGGATCACCCTGAATGTCCACGTTGTACACACGCACACACTCTGTACACCCTGTCTACACCAACAGCTGGGCAGCTATGGCTGTCGTCGTCTTCCTCCTCCTAGCCATGACCGTCGGTGTCTCTCTCGCTGGTTCGCTATGGCCGCTGTCTTCTTCACAGCCCACTTCCTCTCCGGGCACCTGCAGACCTCCACGCACAAGATACCAAGGCAGCTCTTCTGCATGGCACACAGGCGAGTCAATCAATGGCTGGATGCTGCCCCTTTATTTATACTTCTCCAGAGGTACCCGGGCTCTGCCTCAAAAGGTGCGGGCCTGGGCCAAAACGTGTGACCCAGGGAAGCTTCCAGACGTTTGGCCTCCTGGCCAAAACGTGTGGAACCCACAGCGTGGTCCAGAACCTTCCCCACGTGCAGCCCCTACCCCTGTTACTTGCTGACAGGACTGGCCTACAGGGACCTACGACCTTCTAGAGCCTACAGACTTACAAACAGACTCTAGGCCTCAGTAGACTCAGATAGAGACTTCTAGAACAGACCTTCCTAAGCCTAATGGTAACATACCTAACTCCTAATCTACAGACCTAGGGATCGAGTCTTACACAGATCGCTGGGCCTATGTACAGGGTAAAGGGTAGGTCCAGGGATCGAATCTCACTCAGCACACAGGGTCAATGTACAAGGTATGGGCACAGGTCTAGGGATCGAATCTCTGTGTCTGCAAATGTCGGGTCTGCTGGGTGAAACCATTTCAGCACGCACGATTAGAAGGAATTACGGGGTGGATGTCTGGTCGATTGTTGAAGTGACAACTTTCCTATGTTCTCTTCTACAGAGGGGTGTCCTTCAACCCTCTTCTTTCCTTGACAATGGTAACTGGGTGCGTCTCTAGGTGCTGCAGGATAGAGGTAGAGGTTTTGTCTTAAGAATTGATGGAGGCATTGCAAGCATTCTATGGGAAAAATCCATCTTGGCGGCAGGCTACAAGGACAGCGGATTTGGACCTCAGAACCTTAAATGTGAATGGGTTGGCCACATCAGACGCGGTCAAAAGGAAAGCTATTTTAGAACAATTCTGTATACAGGAAACTCATCTGACGGAATCTCCAGCACACACTAGAATCCATAACATAATATGGCCCTTCCAAAAGGTATATGCCTCAGCTCAGAGGAGCGGGTCTGGAGGGGTGGCCATTTGGGTTCCCCCGAACTCAAGGGCAGAAATTGTGCATTGGGCGTCAGACAAAGAACAGGGACGGTGGGTGTCGACGTTGGTAATGCTAGAAGAAGGTGACTTCAATGCAGCCCCTGAGATTAGGACCAAATGATGTTCAAGAGAGGGTGAATTTTTTCCAAGAGATTAGGACTCAAATACCAAACGGAATTCCAGTCATTATAGCAGGTGACTTCAATGCAGCCCCTGATAGATGGTTGGATAGATGGAAAGTACCTTCTCCGTGTCCACCCTACATAGAAGAAGACGAAAAAATCATCCAAAATCTATGTGAGGCAGAACATTTATTTGACACATACCGGAAAATATTCCCACAAGAACGTTTGTTTACTTGTATCCGTAATAGTGGTACCCCTCATCAATCTAGATCCAGGATTGATCTCATACTCATGTCTGAGGATCTAGATAGAGCTCTGGTATGGGCTGCCATTTTTCCTCAAAGTCCATGGCCAGGTGCAGATCATAAGATGTGTGCGGTACTACTAACCTTTCGGAAAAAAACAGATCAAGGGAGAGGATTTTACAAGCTGAATACCTCCTTGCTGGCACAAGAACAATTCAAGCAATATGTTCGGGATATCTGGATTTTTTGGCACACAACCAAGAATCAACATGATTCTTTCATTGACTGATTTAATTGTGGTTTAGCCTTTATGGCAAAAAAATGCAATGAATACTCGAAGTTACAAGCGAAAAATCGATATCTTCAAGAATTTAACATTCAAGAACAAATTCTCAATTACGAACTACAAGACCAAACCAATTATGCTTCACAACTAACCAATATCCAGGAACTCAAGAATCAGCTATTAACCAGTGCACAATTTTGCTGGCATGGTTACTTAGTAAGAGGAAAACTAACCAAGTTTATGACTGAAGGTCAAATGGATGAAACATTTTTTGCCCTTGCAAGAGCAAGAGCTAGACGAACAACTATAGAAGGATTCATGAGTATTGATGGATCCTCAAAACCCTCTCTTTTAACAACCTCAGCTGGTTGTCTTAAAATCGCATATGATTTTTTCAAAAAAAAATTTACATCCTCCAAGGATCCGAACAAACTTCAGGAAGATAATATGGCTATGCAAAGGTTCCTCACACCTCTAACACAATCATTGACACAGGAGCAGAGGGAGATGTTGGAAGGACCATTAACTAAGGAAGAGATTTGGACGGCTCTATTACAGATGGAGGACGACAAGACACCTGGGGTGGATGGTTTTCCTAAAGAGTTTTTGGTCTCATTGTGACCGACCTTCTCTTCGGATGTAATGGAATATTTTAAAGTAGTCCAGGAATCAGAGAGGATGGGAGAGATAGTAGGCCAAGGGATTCTCACCCTTCTTTATAAGAAAGGAGGTAAAACCAACATCAGAAACTATAGGCCTATCACTCTTCTCACAGTAGTATATAAGTTATTAGCCAAAACTCTCACAAACAGGCTGATCCCAATCATGACTGATATCATACATCTAGCACAGACTGGTTTTATTAATGGCAGGCATATTCAAGATAACATAATTCTAATCAATGAGATGATTAAGCTTTCACGACAATCTCAACAAAATGCTGCATTTGTATTTATAGATTTTGAAAAAGCTTATGATCATGTAGATTGGAGATTTTTGGACAAATGCCTTAGTAAATTGAATTTTGGCCCTTCAATACGAAAATGGGTTCAAATTCTTCATTCCAATGCTACTACCAGGATACAAGTCAATGGTCTCCTTTCACCAGAGATCAGACTTCAAAGATCGGTTAGACAGGGTGATCCGTTGACTCCTTTTCTTTTCCTCATTATTATGGAGGCCTTAGGGGCCAATCTTAGGGCAAATAACAACTTCAAGAGATTGGGAATAGCAGGGATACCAGAGGAAGCAATACCTATTTATTCCATGTTCGCAGATGACCTCACCATTATGATGGAAGCTTCAGAGGCAAACATGGACGAAATTAGAATATTAATGGATAAATTCTCGATAGTTTCAGATATGGTTGTCAATTAGGGAAACAAAACACAAGGGTGGTGGATACACTCAAATGGGGTTCGCCCTCCTTAACAGCCTAGGGTCCATTGGGTCCCCTTGGAGGCTCCCATCAGAATACTTGGTGTGACATTAACAGCTAAAGGTAAACCGGCAAATGATGATGAATGGATATCAAGGCCGGCGCTTGAAAAAATGAATCAATGGAAGAACCAACACACCTCAATTATAGGAAGAACCCTCATTATCAATAATGTTGTTGTAGCTTCAATATGGTACAAATCAGGGCTCTGGTCCATTGGTAAAATGCACGTGAAAACTCTTCAAAGACAAATTTCAGCATTTCTTTGGAGGAGTAACCATGAGCAAAAGAAGTTCATCCCAAGAGTAGCATGGTTGTCTCTAATTCAACCCAAAACTAGAGGAGGTTTAGGGATACGAGACCCCAATTTTCAATCACAAGCCATTGGTTTGCAATGGTTAAAAAAATTAATCTTATTCACAGATAAGCAGTGGCTTCCTTTGGTCCTGGAACAAATTAAGAGGCTGACCCCGGTTGCATCAGAAGAAATACATCCTCTAACTTGGTTGGAAGATAGATATTGGACCATACCAAGAGCCAAGACACAGTCTAGTGAACAAGGTATAAGAGGGGCAGTGAGATCGGATCTAATGCTAGATAACCTTTGGACAACACTTATGAAAATTTGGCGTAAGCTCCCCTTACCCAACAKACCATTTCCCTCAAGATATGAGGAAGTAATGCGCCAACCGCTATTTGGTAATCGATGGATCACGGATCTTAATGGATGTGTTTTCAATAGTTCAAAGTCACCATGGTCCTTGTGGGTGAAAAAGGGGGTTTTAAGAATCAAGGACCTTTG